GCTAAAACTAGCAAAACAGCAGCTAAAAGCTAACACCAGCAAAGCTGTAGCTAAATGCTAAAATAGGGAAAATAGATGAATGCTAAAACTAGCAAAGCAGTAGCTAAAAGCTAAAATTTGCAAAACCGTACCTAAAACCGTAGACTAGCAAAACTGTAGCTACAGTAAATGCTAAAATAAGAAAACTGTAGCTATGTTTAAATTAGCAAAGCCATAGGGAATAGTTAGTCAGAAAAACTGTGGTAAATTACAAAAAAGAAGCAAACCAGCAGCTAAAACCAGCTAGACCGTAGATAAAATCTAAAAGTAGCAAAATTGTAGCTAAAACAAACAACCAAAACTAGTAAAACAGTAACTTTAAACTAAAATTAGTGAAACAGTAGCCTATAAGCTAATACCAGCAAAGCTGTAGCTAAATGCTAAAATAAGGAAATTGTAGTTCAGTGCTAAAACTAGCAAAACAGTAGCTAAAAGCCAAAATTCACAAAACCGCACCTTAAAGCTAATAAAAGCAAAACTGTAGCTTAATGCTAAAATTACGAAAGTAAAATTTTTAAAATTGAATTTTCAAAAAATAAAAGTTGTGTAAAAATTTTCATACCAGCATTTAAAATGAACAAAACCGTAGCTGAATGTTGAAACTAGCGCAACGCTAGCAGCTACGTTTCGGACCCTACCTCACTTTCTTGGTGTCTTCAAAGGAGACGAACCGAGGTCGTCTGCTGACGAGCCTCTTTGTGCCGTATTGTTGATTTGTTTGGATCATGTCTGGAAAATAAAGGAAAACATTTGATTTATTTCCTACTTGAGAGAAGGACTTGAGAGAGGACTCTAAAGGTTTCTGGACCGCAGTGGACTCTGAAGGTTTCTGGACCGCAGCGGACTCTGAAGGTTTCTGGACTGCAGCGGACTCTAAAGGTTTCTGGACCGCAGCGGACTCTAAAGGTTTCTGGAGTCTTGGTTTACCCTGAAAACTGAGCGAGTAGAACTGGGAGCCGGCGGTGAACTCCACCACGTCCTTCTTGTTGTCCAGGAACTTCCGCTCCAACGTGGTGCTGTTGAGATCACACGATCTGTGGCCGCCGCTCTGCAACACACGAGCACGCCATCAGTAAAACCGACAGAGCTGATGCTAAGGTTTATTAGCCGTGGCAGCCATCTTGAATGGCGCTGACTCCAAGAGTTATACAGATGTACATCCAGTGAGTTTCATTAAAACCCACCCAGAGGTTCATGAAACGGGCAGTTACGTGATCGCTCGTCTTTTGTGACGTTGAGTGATAGAAATAGAGCGTTAGACCTCATTTGATGGAGTTACAAATGCATTCACCCCTTGGGCATGTTTTTTCTGCCTTACAACCTGGAATTTAGACAAAGTTTGTAGCTCCACTGCTCACTAAGGCTTGGTGTCACTCTGCACATCTTCAGAGGGGATTTGACTGCCATGGCTATTATTTCTCAAATTTGTCCACCGTTGGCTAATCTGTTGAGAACCGCTGCACAAACCTGACTATGTGGAGTCACTGCGAGGGCAGAAAATAATCCCTCAGAAGGAGGAGTAAAGGAGGTGACAGAGGAACACAGCATCAAAGAACTACAGGGACCAAAACATTCAGACAGTCCTTTCTGTCCATGTTAGTCCTGGACTCCGCTTCACACGTTCCTCTCAGGTAGACAGAATCTCTGAATCGTATGGCAGGACGTTCTCATGGTGTTTATTCTTGAGTCTAAAGGTTGGACCCTTCAGACATCTGAACACACAACGTGACCCCCCTCCCTGCTCTCATTGCTTTACATCCTACAGCCAGTTATGAGTGGCTGGATTCGGGGAACCAGTCTGTCGAGTGTGTGCGAGAACTTGGGGCGCTTCTTAATTCTTCAGTGTTTACTCACATCTGAGCCGAACAGATGCCACTTTCCAGAATCGTCCTGCCAGTACCAGAGCCACTCTGTGGTATGGATGAAGTCCGGCTTAACCAGAGAGTTCAGCGTCGACAGTCTCCTGACTTTGTTTCCTTCGCTGGTCATCGTGTCGAAATGCACAGGTGGGTAGGTGCCGTGACTGAACACAAAATCAGAAAAAGATCTGACCAAGGTGATCAATCAAAGCTTTACTGAAAACTCCAACGCTCAGCTCAACATGGCCAGGTAAGCCGGTAATCCCTCCTGAACCAAAGTACCTGGATGTTTTGTTGGGGTCGCAGTAGTCCTTCTCAATCGTCTCATTTCTAGACATGTTGGTCCACTGATCAACTATCAGGACCTGCCATCTGTACGGCATCTTGTCGTGAGCTTTGAAACATTGATCTGAAAACACATCCACCATAAAGAAGAAGGCACCTCTGATGAGAAGATCCTGGCCGTATACTGTACAAGTTTCAGTAGGAACAATACGGAATTGCTCACCGTCGTGCTTACAGTATCCTTTAATGAAGTACATGCATATCTCAGTTTTATCTAGAAAAACAAAAAAATACAAAAGTAAGTACTTTTACACAGTTCACTTTATCCTCCCTTGTAGAGTTCTGCTGTTCGTCAATGCACCTTTAAGCCTTTGGGTTTTATTCGGCTCATCTCCACCCCTGGCAGCAGCAGAAGTATTGTTGGTGGAACGGGTCCCAGGGAGCCGCTGATTGTTGCCTCGTTTGGCTCCTCGTCCTCTGACGGCAGAAGTTTGCTTATTCGCCCATTGTCTGCTCTGACCACCGTTGCTGCTCGTGTCGTAGTCATCGCCAACCACGAAGACGTCGGCAGAAGCACATTCTTGCCCACAACCGTCACCTTCAGTCGGTCTGTCTTCGCTGTACAGATCCAAGTCATCAAAGTCGTCAGTAAAGGAAGAGGTCGAACGCAGCTGTGGAGGGTTTCTTTCTCGTCCCCTCTTGCCTCTGTTACCCCTCTTGCCTCTGTTACCACCTCTCCCCCGCCCTCGGTACCAAGTCAAACCACCGTTGCTTTTAGCATCTGTGTCGTTGCCAACAGAAGAGACGTCACTGTTGGACGAGTTAAGTTCTTTCTGCAGATTCAGTCCATCTTTGTACGGAGCGAACTCATCAAAGAAAGAAAAGTTGTCAATAAGGGAAGGGATTGATTGCTGCGGCGGGGGGTTTCCTACATGTCCCCCCCTGCCTCTGTTGCCCCGGTAGCCACCTCTCCCTCGGTACTGCTGCCTCTGGTCTAAATTCAAATCTCTGCTTCCAGCGTCTGCAGAACTACCGTCGTTTCTTTTGTTAAAGTATCTCAAAGCCGCTTTATTTGCATAAATGAACCTCAAGGAGAGAATGAGGGCGACGGGCACCCCTTTAGCAGACAGACTTTTTAATGGCTGGGCAGCATAAAAGTCGTGGGTCTTATTGCAGGAACAGTCTTGGCTCAAGTACTTCTCACATATGTGAAGTCTGTCACAAGCAAAGGCTTTCTCACACCGACCCAACACTCCAACACCGTTATTATAGTCATGGCATATCTGGAAAAAAGACAAGACGACAGCCAGATCAGGGGATGGAAAATGTTACAATGAAGAACAAGTTTTTTTGTTCTCCACTTCTTTCTGAGGTATAACAATCGGGAATACTTATGCAGATGTATTGACCTATGACTATGTTGACCTGTGACTGGTGGAGATCGGTTGGCAATACAACATCTGGAGACATTTCGGAGTGCTCCGTGCAAATGCAGTTGAACTAGTCGCAGCTCATCCAGATACTTTAGTTATAGCACCACCATGGTTTAAAACTCCTCTAGGTTTAGGCTAAACATCTGATTTTTTATACGTTTCTTACCGATGCCCAATTGGCCACTCCATTGTTGGCTAATCGATTGTATACTGAAGGTGTGGCCCTAAAGACTTTGTCCTAAAGCCGTCAGCCACGTCCACGTCAATATAAATTCCTCACTTTTAGCGCGCCCTCTACGGTTAGACGTTGAACAATTGGTACTCGTACTAACAAGTTACGACCGTGAGTTATAAATCTTGTGTAGATACCGAATTTTGCTCGCTAACCAAAAAAGCTTCAGTCAGCATAGTCGGGTCAGTTTTTATAAATTAAACTTTTTCACTCTAATCTTTTTCCTAAGACTTTACAGTGCCGTGTGAATCAGTGCCAGAACTGGGAGATCGAAATGATTCGATCTCAATGAAAAATTGGTGGATGTGGATTTATTTATTTATCCGTAGTGAGACTTACAGAAGGCAGGAGTGTGTTGTCGTTCTGCAGCAGAAGCGTACACAGCTCCGCTCTGCTCAGACTCTCCAGCTCATGTTCCATCAGTACCTGTTGGTTGTGGCTGGTCAACAGACTGTGGGTCAAATGGCAGACTCTTCTGTAAATCAGAGAATTCATGGTGTTATTTAGTGTGAAATCGTATTTAGATGATCAAGTGAAAACTAAAAGCTGTACATGTTAAAATTTTCCAAAGAAATGGATGGTAAAAAAAATATATATATATACTATTTTTTTGGCCTCTTACAATTTTATTGTTTGTGTTATTGCAAATTAAATTAAGAAAAACAACTGTTGGGACAATACTCAGTATAAAATAGCATCCTTAAACATGGTCGGACAGCAACGGATGACTTTTAACTAGGAGTATAAATTTAATTCAGAATAACCAACAAATCTAACTGCTTTACATGAGAAGACGGTTCCTCTTCACCAAGTTTTAAAAAGCAAAAACAAGAGCAAAACACTAATTTACTACATTACCGTAAAAATGTAACGTTTTGCGCATTCACTTATGTGAGTAACTAAAATGGCACAAAATTCAATAGATGTGTTTACAATGAATATCGAGGGACAGAATATATATACACGGACTCAGACATGTGTAAGGTCAAGTAAGATGGAAAATTATTGATCCCACAGGAAATTGTTGTGCCAGAGTTATGCTAACATAAATCACTTAAATGCTAAGATAGGTTAGCAGAGGTAGCTTTGTTGTTAGTTAAGATAAAAGCAAACAACTTAAATAAAATAAAAAAAAGTTATTTCTTTGTTTTGGTGTATATCTGTACAATAGTACAAATACTGGCTGTTTAAACTTTTCAATAAATGTTAAAACAACCGAAGAGTGTTTTTCTGGACTTCAACACAGATTAAAGCATTTGTACTACTAAGGTTAAAATTAGCTAACAAACATACCTTCCCTGTCAGTTAAAGTACGCCAACAGTGGTAGCTTAACTATGAACTAAGATAGGCTAACAGACATAGATTTACTTTTAGCTAAAATAAGTTAAATATTACCTAAAACAAAAAGCAAACAAAGGTAGCTTAACTATTAGCTAAAATAAGCTAATGGAAGTAGATTCACTTTTAACTAAAATAAGCTAACAGAGGTAGCTTAACTATGAACTAAGAGGCTAATGGTCATCAGGGCTCTAACGGACATTTGTTTGGGCTCTAACGGACAGTTGTTTGGGCTCTAACGGACAGTTGTTTTGGCTCTAACGGACAGTTGTTTGGGCTCTCACGGACAGTTGTTTGGGCTCTCACGGACAGTTGTTTGGGCTCTCACGGACAGTTGTTTGGGCTCTAACGGACAGTTGTTTGGGCTCTAACGGACAGTTGTTTGGGCTCTAACGGACAGCTGTTTTGGCTCTAACGGACAGCTGTTTGGGCTCCAAGGAACAGTTGTTAGGCTGATGGTTCTCCTTTTGCATGTGAACAGCTAGTTTTGTCTGTCACCAGCAAACTGGTTGATCCACTATGAGAAGGTGTTATTTATGGCTGACTGTTGAGGTGACTCAGACTGAAGGAATCCATCCATCATCTTTTACCCGCTACTTCCTTATCGGGTGGCAGGAGTCGCTGGTGCTCATGTCCAGCCATCATTGTGCGAGAGGTGGGGGACCCTGGACAGGTCTCAAGTCCATCACAGGGACACATAAGAGACAAACGAGACAACCATTCACTGCTCAGTCACACCGAGGGACAATTTAGTTATATAAGACGAAAAGTTTCAACACACAAGAATTCATCCAGAGGACCTGACTCAACCTCATTAGATATTAGCTAGGCTAACAGTGGTAGCTAAACTATTAGCTAAAATATGCTAATAGAGGAAGCTAACAACGTGCTAACATGTTAGGCTACCTTCAGGCCCAGGCCTCCCTTGCAAAAGAGATCTGTGTCTCAATGGGATTTGCTTGGTTAAATAAAAGTTAATAAATAAATAAAATCCTCTGGAAGGATTCTTCTTGTTGATCTGTTGACCTTGCTAGATTTATCTAATTGGATTACTGAGCGTGGATCAGGACTAACAGAGATAAGATATGCTAGCTGTGGTAGCTTCAATGTTAGCTAACATAATTTACTGTAGTGGCCTTAGATTGTCTACTGGTGAAGCTACCACTGGTTCTTATCATAGTCCTAATAGCACAAGTCTGTTGAAAATTCAGATAAATAAATAGTATTTGGTAACATGAACATTTATTGTCAACAAAGATTGTTGCTATTCTAAATTCATTCCCAAAAAGTAAACACTAAGCTGAATAAATTAAAGCTTTATTAATGATCACGTTAGCTAAGATATGCTAACTGTGGTAGCTTCACTGAAAGCTAAGTAAATTCATGTCAGGATACATTTAAGATTTTTTTTAAGGTACCCTTTCGTTAAACGGTTTTGTTTTAACCTTACAAGTACAAAACATAAATAAATAAACGAGCAGCACCATTTTAAGGGGTAAAAAACATAATCGTGACATTTTTTTAAGTTTTACCTTTTCAGAACAGAAATAGAAAAGCCGAATTTACAACAAAACGTGAACGCACCGCAAGCGCAGTCGCCCTTAGCTGAACAACCTTTAACATAGATATAAAAATACAATATTCCAGCTCTAAAAAACTATTAAGGTCGGTGTCAAGCAATTAACTTGACTTTGATCGTTGTATTTAACAAGAAACAAGTGAATCTTACCCCTGCTGGCCCTGACACGACCCGGTGAAGAGGAAGTTTCTGCAGAGGTGCAGCCCGGTGCAGGAGCCCGGACAGCTTTTGGCTCTGCACAGCTTCGCTCCGGTCCTGGCCACCACTTTCTGCTGACCACCCGCGTCACATAAAAGGAACTTCTCCTGGTTGTTAATGACTTCGTTCGTGGACTCGCCCGGGAAGAGATTGAACATTAAATCGTTCGCATCTACTGCTCCTTGATTGGCGCAGATGTGCTTCAGTATGTCCGTCTCCATCGCTGTCGGGGCTGTTTCAGCTTCTCCTTCCTTCCACCCGAAAGAAACTCGTCGAAGCAGCTGCAGTCGGGGAGTTCTCGGTTCGTGGGCTGAGGAGAAAGTCCAGTATCATTTCAGCTGATTGGAAACCGAAACTGAACTAGGAATGATGTAATGCCGCGTGTGTCCGCGTGGGGGCGACATCGCGCAGCTTCTCAGGACGCATGAAGTCCATGGAAGCAACATGAAGCTAACATGTTACAGAGAATAAGCATTACAAAAATAATTTGACACTGTAATCTTAAAAGTTCATGCCTTTGGACATTACTGGTGTAAACCCGTGTAAAAATATGTGCCAGTCTGACAATAAGTTACTGTGAAATATCTAAAGGAACACAGCATTATGTAGGAACTAGAAAGTTCCTGGAGAAACTTTGACGGGGACTGCCACGTTGCGGTCATTTAAATTTGTTGATTTGACAATACCACGTGTTTGGGTTCGCTCTCAGCTACCACCATACCAAATTTAAGCTAAAAATTGCACAATATCAATGAGTTATACTCATTTTTATGTTAAGCTATGGTGGCCATTTTTATTTTTTTTATTTGGATCCAGTATGTGATGGGGAACGTTCTCGGATAAACACCAAATTTCAGCTCCATGTGCAAAAATAGCAACGTTAAAACCCTTTAATTGTAGCTTTGGTGCCCATTTTGATTAAGAAAGTTATTTATTGGGCATTACCCTCAGCTACTACCACACTAAATTTCAGCTTAATGTCCCTTAAAATGGCTGATTTATTATTTTTCCTTTTTAGCTCAGGTGGCCATCTTGGATATTTGATTTTTCAATTTTTTTTCAATTCAACCTTTATTTAGACAGATAAATCACAACCAGAGTTTATGAAAAATGACTAATAAAAACGCCGTCTGTTTAAAAATTACATCACCATGGTAACTCGAAACGCCAATAAAAGCAAAAGCACACGTCACGGGGCCGAGCCGGTCGTTGTGACATGACACTTGTGGGGTACACTTTGTGTTTCGGGGCCGCATTAAAGTTGACAGTCGTGTCAAACTGGTTGAAACCAACAAAGTCCATGCTCAGTAATCCAGGTATACAATGTAAAATGTAAAGTTAAGAAGCCGTTGCCAGGTGGATAATAATAGGTGGCTGCCTTCCTTTTCTCAGGTGATGGCTCTGGAGGAGCTGGATTTTTCGCCATCTTCATGCCTGAAGCGTCTTTTTTTTTGTTTTCAAAACGCCGATCTCCAGTTTCGACTCATCGTGCAGCGAGACGTTGGGGTTCTGCGTCCTGATGGTGTGCTTTTCTTTTTAAGCACGCTTGTAGAAAAACTGGGACTTCTAAACCAAATTCACCATCGGGAACAAAAAGTGTCCCTGTACTGGTTTCCGGTCATTGTGACCTCCATGTTCTTTTCTGATTTCATTCACCAGATAACAGAATAAAAAATAAAAGAGGTGCATATGTATAAAAAACTGCTTTACAGTTGTTATGGTTCCTCGAACATAACAGAACGGTGATATTTCACAACGGGTACTTAGAATAAATACAACTACGGTAAATTAATTCTGAGATTTTGCTTTTGAAAACTTTAATTACTCTTTTTTTTCCCGGATATAAATCAATTTTTTCGGATGATTACTTCCTCTGGTATCAGATGCTGTGCTGCTGGAAGGATTTTTACTGAAACTTTTACTTTTGGACATTTGTTATGATGCGTAACCATGACAACAAGGTGGTTTTCTACTACCTCAACTACAACCCCAAATCCCAAAGGAGTTGAAAAGGAGGGGCCTTGGATGCATTCTCATCTACCTGGAGGCGGTGCTCGAGTGCCTGACCGCCGAGATCTTGGAGGTGGTGGGAAACGCGGCTCGTGACCAAGGACCAAGATCGTCCCCTGACACCGGCAGTTAAGTTTGCTGTGGGACGGACTGCTACAAGAGATCCTTCCGGCCCAAAGCCATCAGCATCAAGAACAACTCTAATGAAACCAAGATGAGCTAACAATTAATTTCCCTTTGGGATTAATAAAATATTTTTGAATTTAATTTGAAATATGTACACCTAAGAAACATTCAGAAGGTCTAATGATGAAAAAAATAAATCAGCCGCACATCAACTTTTGTTCCACGTTTTTCTTTGTTTATTTTTAATGTATGTTCCCGGAAAATCTTTTAAGAGATGCTTCTAAATTTCTTTATTTTGACAAGCGTCTCGAACGCTCCTCACAATGACGTTACTGCCCTCTAGTGTTTACGGGAAAAAACTCACCACGTTGAAATTCATTATAAATGCATTTTTATGAATCCCGCATTTATCACATCATAAAATGATGAATTACTTTCACGACAGTTTTTACTTTACCTCGACCTCTGTACTTTTGATTTTTAGATTAGCTCACTTGGGGATGTTCCTCTGGCATTTGATGGGTGCTGCAAAAATCGTCAACAAGTGTCAACAGTGCACGTGCATCCACAAGTGGACATTGATGCGGGATGCCCGTCTCTCATCTCGTCCAACAAAACTGCTTTGTTTGACTGTAAGGAGCAAAAACGAGTAAATTATAAACTGGATTCCAAAAAAGTTGGGACACTAAACAAATTGTGAATAAAAACTGAATGCAATGATGTGGAGGTGCCAACATCTAATATTTTATTCAGAATAGAACACAAATCACAGATCAAAAGTTTAAACAGAGAATGTTTCATTCTAAGGGAAAAATCTGTTGTTTCCAAATTTCATGGCGTCAACAAATCCCAAAAAAGTTGGGACAAGTCCATTTTTACCACTGTGTGGCATCCCCCCTTCTTCCAACACTCAACAGACGTCTGGGGACAGAGGAGACCAGTTTCTCCAGTTTAGAAATAGGAATGCTCTCCCATTCATGTCTAATACAGGCCTCTAACTGTTCAATCGTCTTGGGCCTTCTTTGTCACACCTTCCTCTTTATGATGCACCAAATGTTCTCTATAGGTGAAAGATCTGGACTGCAGGCTGGCCATTTCAGTACCCGGATCCTTCTCCTACGTAGCCATGATGTTGTGATTGCTGCAGAATGTGGTCTGGCATTATCGTGTTGAAAAATGCAGGGTCTTCCCTGAAAGAGATGACGTCTAGATGGAGCACATGTTGTTCTAGAACCTGAACATAGTTCTCTGCATTAATGGTGCCTTTCCAGACATGCAAGCTGCCCATGCCACAAGCGCTCATGCAACCCCATACCATCAGTGATGCAGGCTTCTGAACGGAGCGTTGATAACAACTTGGGCTATCCTTGTCCTCTCTGGTCCGGATGACATGGCGTCCCAGTGGTCCATAAAGAACTTCAAATGGTGACTCATCTGACCACAGAACAGTCTTCCATTTTGCCACACTCCATTTTAAATGACCCCTGGCCCAGTGCAAACGTCTGAGCTTGTGGAGCTTGCTTAGAAATGGCTTCCTCTTTGCACTGTAGAGTTTCAGCTGGCAGCGGCGGATGGCACGGTGGATTGTGTTCACTGACAATGCTTTCTGGATGTATTCCTGAGCCCATTCTGTTTTTCCTTGACAGTAGCATTCCTGTTTGAGGTGCAGTGACGTTTAAGGGCCCGGAGATCACGAGCATCCAGTAGAGTTTTACGACCTTGACCCTTACGCACAGCGATTGTTCCAGATTCTCTGAATCTTTTGATGATGTTATGCACGGTTGATGATGATAACTTAAAAGTCTTTGCTATTTTACGCTGGGTAACACCATTCTGGTATTGCTGCACTATCTTTCTGCGCAACAATGGTGGAATTGGTGATCCTCTTACCATCTTGGCTTCTGAGAGACACTGACACTCTGAGGAGCTCTTTTTATACCCACTCATGTTGTCAATTGACCTAATTAGTGTTAATTGGTCTTCCAGCTGTTCGTTATACGCTCAATTTTCTTTTTCCAACCACTTATTGCTACTTGTCCCAACTTTTTTGGGATTTGTTGACACTGTGAAATTTTGAATCAACATATTTTTCCTTTAAAATGTTACATTTACTCAGATTAAACTTTTGATCTGTCATCTATGTTATATTACGAATAAAATATTGACATTTGCCATCTCCACATCATTGCATTCAGTTTTTATTCACAATTTGTTTAGTGTCCCAACTTTTTTGGAATCCGGTTTGTATTAGAACCACATGCAGGCTGAAGAATCTGCCGCTCTGAAGTGTTTGCTCGACCGTTGGCAGATAGACTGGACTGCAGCAACTCTGTTCAATTAAAGTAAAATATGAATGTAAAAAAATAAAAATCATGTTTGACCTCTGACCGACTTGTGGAAGTTTGACTGAAAATTAGTCATTTTTTCTGGTTATCAGTTGCAAAAAAGACTATTTTATAAATTATAAAAAAAACAACCTAACTTGTGGGGAGCTAAATTTTCCTCAACAGATATTTAAATTCAATTTTTTTTCTTCCAAGTCAAGTCGCATTTATTGATATAGCACATTCCAGGCTAAGATAGTGCTAAAACACTCATGGCTGGATCCTCACCCCTCAGGAAAACGTATTGTCTTAAAGGGATCTCTAATCGCACATATTGGCCTTAATATGTTATTTCCACTAAAATATGTAGTTTGTGACATGTGAAAACTCCTAATTACTTAAAAAAAATTACATAGTTTAATATATTTTTCACCTAAGAATGTTGCCGTTATTCTACCGGTGCGATGCATTCTGGAGCAATGGCATACATCGGTTGTACTTGTTCATGAAGTGCACGGTTCCATTACGCATCTAACAGTGGAAAAAAATGTAATTTAGCGACTTATTGCTTTCGCTAACTTTAGAAACCGTTGGCAGAATTAGCTTCCGCTAAATTAAGTTTAGCCAACTTTAGGTCCACTAACACGATTCACAAGCTTGTTCATGTCTGTTGTGGGCGTGTCTTGAAGGACCATTGGGCACGCTCACTATCTGTACACACGACAAGACGATTGGTCATGCAGCTTCAACTGGAGGGAGACGAAGACATTTGATGCATGCTGAGTGAATCGAGTTAGTGGTTAGCATTAGCTTCTGCTAACTTTTTTTTTTTTTGTTTACCTGTTTGGTGGTAACGTGTTAGAAAAGCTAATTTTTCAAGTTAGCAAAATATAGGTTAGCCAAGCTAACTTTTTGGTTAGCTGTGCTCAACAACATCGCAATAAAGTTTCATTTTGTATTAGTCCTCATGCACAATAATAGGGTTGAAACAATCAAACATGATCAACTTCTGATGTTTAATTAATTAGTACTGGAGCTATAATGCAATATATATATATATATATATATATATATATATATATATATATATATATATATATATATATATATATATATATGGGCTCTGGATCTAGCACTTAGCTCTGAAACAAATGTTATAAATATATATTAGCTCTGCAGCTAATGCTCTTAAGTCTGGAGCTAATGTCATATCTGTTAGTTCTGGAGCTAACGCCATTAGGTTTGGAGTTAACGCAATATATAATAGCTCTGGATTTAGCATTAGCTCTGAAGCTATCGTTATAAGCGCTGAAGCTAACAATAAACATTTGCTTTGGATTTAGCACTATTAGCTCTGAAGCTAACGATATAAATATATTTTAGCTCTGTAGCTAACGCTATCAGGTCTAGAGCTAATGTCAGACGGCTTAGCTCTGGATCATTGCTATTCGCTCTGGAACTAATTTAATATTCAATTCAGTTTATTTATATAGCACCAAATCACACCCGAGGTCGTCTCAGGGCACTGCACCGAAACATTCACATACATAAAAAGTCAGTTAACATTATTCATCTAAGGAACTAATCACTATAAATGTATAATAGCTCTGGAGCTAATGCTATTAAATCTGAAGCTAATGTCATGCTAATGCGAAAGCCGAGTCATTTCTGCGTTCTTCCGTCTTGTCAACACGTTTGTGTATAAATTAACGCGCTAAACGTCAGATAACGTCCAAAATGAACATTCAAGCTGAACTTTCTTTTTTTTTTAAATCTTTATTTAGAACCTTGCTTCAATTACATCAGTCTCAAAAATACACGTTGAAGAACACCTAGTTCAGCTGAACTGTTGCACCAAAGCAACCTGTCTACGTCATTTACCCAGAATGCATTGCATCATAAATAAAACAGTGACGCCTTTGTGTCAACAATCTTCAAACAATTATAAAAACTAAACAGCTTACAATATTTTTAGTGTCTCGCTTTTATGGCTCAAGTGATCAAATAAGGTATGTTGTTGCAACTAGTCAGGGATCCCTTTAATATTAAAGGACCTTCAGCGAATTGTTTACCTTTATCCCTTACAGTAAACAAGTAAATAAATCTGTTTATTGCTGCTGTGTTTGTCCGCAGAGCTAACATTTCCTGCTTCGGGTTTCCCTTTAAAAGGGGGCAAGGCTCATAGCTGGGAATTCACGTCATTTCGCCGTTTTACACACATCCATATCAATGACACACACACACACGCACGCACGCACGCACGCGCACACACAGAGAGGGGGTGTCTTTCTCTTCCAGGAAGGGATTATTAAGCAGCGACATGTGAAGAGAGCGGAGAAAACGGACAAAAGAAGTTTCTCAGCCCGACGAGCCGCCATGGAGCCGACCTGTAAACAAGTCCGATAAAGCGGAGAAGAAGCGGCTTCATGAGCCTGGAAGAGAAAAACAAGTTCTCCTCCCGGAACAACAGTCGGTGAGCCTCCCCCTCCCGCACCTCCCGCACCTCCCGCAGCTGCCGCTCTCCTCCGTGAAGGAAATAAAAACCGGAGAAGTGGAAGCGGGAGAGACGGTGACGGGAGATCATGTCTGGATCCTCCCCGGCTTCGAACAAGGTACCGCCGCCGTCTGCTTTTTTCTTTCATTTGTTTTGCTCATCTGTTGCTCACGCGCTCGCGGAGTCGTGACTGTTCGGTTCGGCGGCGAATCCGAACAAATTTGGCACCAAAAATAATTCCCCCTCAACTTTCTCCCGCAAGCCCCACTTCTCTCTGTTGTGACCCGAGCCGCTCATTGAGGTCGCCATGGTAACCGCACACCCGTGTGCCCGCCCCTCTCTCTGCACTCCCGTAAAAGACAGGCAGACTAGTAGCGCCGACTAAAAAGTTAGCCTCAAACAAACAGTCGCAGTATGAAAACTAAAGCTGGAACTAAAAAATATATAAAAAAAATCCCTGAACCCTGAATGTTAGAAGCCTCTACGGAGGCCCTAAGGCGACATTGCTGAAGAAATGCGTGTACAATTCGTTTCTGGTGCTCACCAAATAATCTACTACCAAGGACCTTCCTGTGGATACTAATGTGCATACTTAGTATTTGTACGATGCATTGTGGACTAGACATATTCATTCTACTTCAGTTTTTTGTGTCATTTGTGTGTTACTTTCACCGACTATGGCAATCAGACTAAAATTAATACAATTAATTAGTAATTTTGATGTTTTGCCTTTATGCATTCACCTTTATCAACCATTAGTATCCTACTACTATTTCCTACCGTAGATAACGGGAGTAGCTAGAGTATTTGAGCACCTGACTTCACGCATGTACATTGGTATATGTTAAAAGGTCCATAAAAATCATTCAAATTATATATATTTTTATTAGCTTCTTAAAAATACAAACTAGTCTTGATAGTCTCATCCAAAATCTCAATGGATGTCTCTTTAGTTTGTATCCGCTAGTTAAAAAAACAAAAACAACAAAGGTCACTTTGATTTGAAATAGATAAAATTAATAATTTACTGATTTTCCTTGAACAGAACTATTTTAAAATGCATTAATGAAACTAGCCTCGAACATAAAATGATGGTACCTTCAACTTGGTAATTTGTTGAGTCAACTGATTCCTGATTTCCACGGGTGTTCTGGTCCACTCCCTCCTCATCAAACTGCCCCAGGTGTCTCAGGTGTGAAGGGTTCCTTCTCCAGATGTTTCAGCTCCTTCCACAGATGATCAAGAGGATTTAGATCAGGGCTCAGGAGGACACCAGAACAGTCCAGTGTTTGGTTCTGAGCCGTTCTTCTGTGTTTTTATCTGTGGGTTTTGAGCCATTACCCTGTTGGAGGACTCATGACCAAGTTTTCTGACACTTTGCAGAACTTTTGGCTCCAGAAAGTCTTGATAGTCGTGAGATTTCATTGTACCCTGAACAGATTCAGGACCCCAGTGTCAGGTGCAGAACAGAACCGAGCCGCCTCCAAGTCCCGCTGCTCCAGTTTTGTCTCATCTGTCCCAGAAGCACAAAACAAAAGTTCTGGTTTTGTGCAAAGCCGTTAATTTTGCGCACGTAACGTGTTGCAATCTGAATGATCCACTCATTTATTCCGGAGTAATCTCTTATCCAAAAGGAATCAAACGGTAATAGATTGGAGCCAATACTGGACTAAATCTGGGAGCAAACCATCAACTGATTGATCTGCGTCTGATCAGGACAATCGGCTGGGAAGCAGCGTAAAGCTCGACTGAAACGCTTGGTGCTCAGTTCGACGTCGGCAGAACGGTCAGAATCAAGTTCTTCTTCTGAGAGAGGACAACTTCCAGCCCTGAAGCCGAGGCAGCTGAGGAGCTGCTTCCGGCTCTGAAAGGAGGAAGTAGGGAGCTGACAGTTTACCGCCTGGCTTCCACAGGACGTTCCCGGTCCACCGTGGTGGTGCCGGCGGGCTGGAACCAGGAAGAAACTTGAATTCCAGGCGCTTCGTTTGTAGGAGAACCTGAAGTAGACGTTTGTTGCAGAGTTCAGGTCTTACACAAAAAACTATAAAAGCAGTGGATTTAATTTGTTTGACAGCCGACTTTAAAGACGGAGTCAATAAAAAGAGAAACACTTAACAACGTAAGACTCGAGATTTAAATTAAAATAAAATAATCCCGTCTGTGGAGGTAAACAAAGGTGGCGAAATCGGTCGAGTCTCGTTCAGGTGCCAATATGGGACTGAATGCTGCTAAAGAACGAGCGGAACAAACGTTTGATCCAGAGCAGCGGAGCGCCGCAAACACGAAGGTTTTACTGAAACGGTAAATTTACCGTTTCAACGTTTTTCCTTCGAAACTCGGCTCGGAGCTTGAATATTTGGCATTTAATTTCTTGTCTTTAGAGACGGTCTCAAGTGTCACAGGAGCGACATTTTTGCCCCGAGCGAACTCGTTTCGTGAAAAATGAGAGAAATAAATCTCGTTTTGAAGGCCATTTTAATTTAGCGGGGTTTAAAACCCGTCTACGTTATTTACTAAAACAACCCTGAGCTAAAATACGCACCAGAAAAACAAAACTGCCAGGTGTCCAACACGAACCATCAGCGTCGCCCAGTGGTGCAGTCTACATTGTTGTACTGGGTATGAAAGTACACCAGTTAGTACAATGAATGTAATCGTCAGTTTATTTAGATTTTTAAGCGTATTGAACATTTTCAAATTTCTCTGTTTATATTTGAATAAATGAGCAACAAACTTTGTACAACTTTGTATTAAAAATGTAGAATTTATAAAACCGTATCAAAGCAAAGCGCTGCATTCAGATGGATTGTTACGGAAACGTTTAACTACCGTTTAACGTATCAATGACACGTGTCTAATCATGTATCATTGGGCACTTTTAAGTGGGTATACTGAACTTCTTAAGCTTTTGTAGCGGGTACTCTGTGTACCCGAGTATCACGTAGACGACACCACCGGCGTCGCTGTTGTCGACCTATTCTTCGGCACTTCGGCCAACCGTAGTTGAAAAATACACACCAGGTGACCGTTTTTACAAGACTTGTTCAACTCGAGGCCAACAGAGGAGGATTAACTTTAATCCAGACCAGGGTTTGGTCAGAGTTAACGTACTGGAACTTCTCGACTCGTCTTTTGATCCAACAGCAAATATTAGAACACGTTCAAAGAACAGCGTTTCGTAGCATCGCCACGAACAAATTCCCTCATCGCCTCATTCATACTCCCCATTTTAAGTCCGATTTACTTTAGATTGTTTTGAAATCGTGTCAAACTTTACTCAACAAATCTGAGGGTAAATTCATCCAAACTGTTCGGTTTGTCCGACCCAAACGCCACTGTCGAACTGTCTGTGTGGCAGAAACGCTCACGGTCGACTGTGTTCGGAAAAAAGTTTCTATAATAAAATAATCTGTACCGTATTTTCTGCTGTACACGTCGCACCGCCCTATAAGTCGCATCAGTCCAAATAAGTCTAATAAAGTGGAAAAAAACAAATATGTCGCTTCATCGTATGTGTCGCATCTATTGCGCATCACCACTGACAACCTGGAAATGTGGGCCGGTGAGCAATTATTTGTTTGTTCGAAATTATAGTAAAGGTGTGTCTCGGTTGAACTTATACTTACTAAATGCATTTCAAGGATTTAAGGTTCTTTATTAGTCGTTCGAACATCATGTATACAATGGTCAAATTCAATTCATTGGTCAAATTAGCTGAATTTCACCGGGGCGGCACAACCAAATAAAGCCGATATAACGGTTGCTCCAGGCAGACGACAGTGGCAGGCTATGGCAAGCTGTTTGTGTCATTTATAGCCACTTTTACCTATTACATGACACAACGGCATGCCATACTACCAGAGTGCCATCTAGTGGCTGAAAATGGTAGTGTTTAATATTTTCAGTCCGAATGAATGAAAACGGTCATATCTCAGCCAAAAATTGGTTTATAAATATGGAAAAAATCCATAAACGCGTCACATCGGCGTGTAAGTCGCAGGGCATTATGGTATGTAAATAATCTACCGGTCAGCCCAAAAAATATATATATTTTTACTTTTAAACTTGTTTATATTCTTCTTTACACTGAAGATCTCTCTGTAAAACAGATGAAGCCGTGAATTTAACAACAAATTATTTCTGAGTAAAGAAAACTCCCCAGACTTCTAAACTTGGGCTCACTTTGCAGCTGGATCCAAAAAGCTCACAGAACCGTCTCTAAAGCAGCAGAGCCCAACTCTGGACCTCGAGGGCCACGGTCCTGCACGTTTCAGGCGTTCCTCTGCTTCAACACCCGATTTGAACGAACGTGAGATTAACGGGCTTCTGCAGAACTCGAAGACCGGCTGAAGAGCAGAGAAGCGACTAAAACGTGCAGGGTAGTGGCCCTCGAGGACCAGGGTTGAGGGCCGCTGGATTCCAGAACCGGCTTCATCTGGGGCTGGAGAACGTTGTTTTCTGCACGTTGACGTGTCCTGAAAGTGACCCGGCCGCTCCGACCAGGTTTATTAAAAGCGAGTCGGCGTGCGTTTGGGTTCGGGGCCAGTGCACCGTGGAGCCGTGTGAGTCACACTTTGTCTCTGTGTCTATTCACAGCAGGAGAGGAGCTCTTTCAGTCCTTCCGCCAACCCGTTGCCAAACTCCACTTCCTCCCCCGTCCATGCCCCCGCCGCCAGGCCAGCCAGCCGAATGGAGGACGAGCCCGCCAGGCTGCCCGCGCACCTGCGTGAGTCTCACACACACACCGTTCACGTGCCAGCTTCTACCTCATCATCCACACAAACATCATCAGCAAACAGCTTTATCAGAACCCGACAGAACTGTGCTGCAGAACATTAGTGAAGGAGCTCAAAGCGATCGGATCGGGTCAGAACTGGAACAATCCAAACCCCTGCAGGCGGACGGTTTTTCAATACGTGACCAACGTTAATGATCGTTGTTGAACACGAACGACAGAAGTGAGACGGTTCTGTTAAAATCAGGTCCGAGCAACTTTTTAGATTTAATTTTTTACCGTTTTCCAATTTTTTTTTAAGAGCAAGAGATGCTCATGGGCTGAACTTACAAAACAACCTGAACCAGTTTTTCTAAAAAGCTGCTCGTCAGAAGAAGTGAGTTTTAAAGAGCTGCTGAAGAACCAGTGGCCAGTTCAAAATTAAATCTTACATTTTCCTTAAAGACGTCACTCTTTTCATAAACAACTCTACAAAGTCTGGATTCCAGTGTGAGGACTGGGAAAAAACAAAGTAAGGACAGTCGTTGGTGTTTCCGTATTTTACTGCAGTTTCTAGAAAAGTCTAAATTAATTAAAGTTGCTCAGTTGAGTATTTTTCATCTCCTGAAATATGAAAACTGCTTCTCGAACCAACAGGTTCATCGTGTGTTTTTGTAAAACATTTGGTAACTTTTGTAAAATTTCAAGGAAAATGTTACTTTTAATTTAATTTTAACTATTAAATTTAACCATTAACTAAATACAGTTGGGTTTTTATTTTAGTGGTGGATTGTGAGAATCAGATCCAGTTTGTCTGGAAAAATAAAATTCCATGTAGTATTTATTAAAAATAGGAAAAATTAAATATCTATGATCGTTTTATCTTCGCAACATGCTTTAAAAACAAAATGAGACTTAAACGTCCGGGTGATAAAAACAGGAAATCAAATAAAACTTTTAAATAATTTGGAAAAGTGAGATTTTTAATTGTTGAAAATGGACCCGGGTGTGTTTGGTTCACAGACGTCTACTCACAACGTTAAAGGGGCGGGGCAACGATGTATTTGTGTGTTAGCAAAATATCTCTTGATCCACTGGCCAACTTTCAACGAATCTCAGAAATATGAGCGTCTACGACTTTTTAGCTTTTGGGGTCGACTTGATTCAAAATGGTTGCCACAGATGTACCGGATTTTCCACCGTATAAGTCGCATCAGTCCACGTGTGTCTAATAAAGTGGAACAATCCATAAATACATCGCTTCGCCGTGTACGTTGCTTCTATTATGCGTCACTGCTGACAACCCCGGAAATGTGGGCCGGTGTGCCAAAAATCGATTGGCTGCCAAATGGTGGGAAGACTTTAACAAGAATAACATTATAAATATGGGAAAAAATCCATAAATGTGTCGCTTTGCCGTATAAGTCGCAATGTACGCAAATTATGCAAAAACAAACAAAAAAAAAAAGCAGCGACTTATAGGCCAAAAAATACGGTGATTACAAATATTCAGCTAAAACTTGTCATGTAGCTGAGAGTCATCCCTAACATATACCTCGAGTGCAACAGCTACAACTCTGTCAGGTGGCGGGCGATATGCATTCTTTCAGGGACTGCTAGGCCTCCGACGTTAGTTTTACAGATGAATGGATAAATAAAGGTTTCTATGTGATGAGACTTTAATTAGGACTCGTTAGTGTCCAAGCTAAAGTCGTTCAAAGAGCCATCCACAGCAGGTAGGATATTAACTGCTCAGAACCTTAACCTAAGTCCACTTTGAAAGAGCTGAGCGTTTCCTTTAGGCTCCGGGGAGGAAGAGGACCCGTGAACGCTCCGGGGAGGAAGAGGACCCGTGAACGCTCCGAGTCGTCTGGCTTCGCTTCAGAAGCTCGTCCCGACCTGTAAAAACCAATTAAAGCGTTTAGAGTTCATCACCCCTGCGGGTGTTTATCTTTTTATTTTTTAGATCCGCCTGAAGGAAGAGCAGCGAGTTGACCTTTACTACTGTTAGAGTCGGGGGGTGTCATTCCATCATGGCTCTGGGGGGGTTGATGTTTAGTTGCGTCTCCTGCCCAATCAAAGAGGAGGCGAGGCTGGAGCTCGGCCAGGAGAGAGTGGAACAGTTCAAAGAGTAACGGGAGCGTTTCGGCCGCGCACCTGTCAATGTTTAACCCGCCTGTTTGTTTAGTTCCTGCTAAGTGTGAAGTTCAGGGCCTCGGAGCTGCGCGGGGCGCCACGAACAGGAAACTCCCCCTGCACGCTTCCTCTTTCGCATTGTTGCAGAAAAAGGAAGAAGGCTCAACAGGTCCGTGTCGGGTTTCCTGCCGAGCGAACCGACGGGTCAGTTCACATCCGCAGACACGTGGAAGTCGACTCGATTTGGTGGCGGGGGGGGGGGGGGCACAAGAGCAAGACGAGCAAAGGAGGGATGTGAAAAAGGAGAAAAAGAACGAGGGAGGAAGTTGCAGTGTGGGCAGAAATCCGCCTTCTCCATTTCCTGGGGAGGAAGTGGATTAGATGGAGGAGAGCTGCAGCTCGCTCATCGCCGCCGAGCTCAGTTTGTAACCCCCCCCCCACACCCCCCATCACTGAAAACAAACCGCAGGTCCAAACAGGTCCAGCCAGAACAAACTCTTCTCTCTAACCATCAAAAAATACAACTTCGTTTTAGCTGCGCCTAAAAGACCTCCAGCAAAGATCCATAATTTTTATATTCAAGTTGTTTCATTCCCAGTTTTCTTCTCCCACCATATGTTAAGGTCTGAACCTCCCACAAGCTGCGGGGTAGACGTGGAAATTACCGTAAAGGCTATAAAAGCTATGCCGGCTGAAATTAATTCCTGTAAATGTTTGTTGCACAGCCTAAACGAATTACCGTAATGGTTGGAAAAGCTGCGCTTCTTAAAATAAATCACTGCAAATGCTGAAAAAGCTGCGCTGCCTAAAACGAGTAACCGTAAATGCTAGACTAACTGTGCCGCTGAAATAAATTACCGGAAACGTTAGGCGAGGTGTGCAGCCTAAATGAATTACCGTAAATGTTTAAATATGGAACACCGATCAGTACACCAACCGGGGAGTGGTGTGCAGAGGTTAGAGAGGTGGGCTTGTGATCCGAAGATCGCCGGTTCACGCCCCGGCCCCGACAACATCAAAAAATTGTGGGTGGGGTAGGTGAAACACCCACACTTGCCCCCACCCTCATTCGCCCCACTCTGGGCCCATGAGCAAGGCCCTTAACCCCACCATGTGCTCCCTAAACAGGTCTCTCTTGAAAATGAGTTCTCGTGGCTCAATGAGACTAACCTGGATAAATAAAGGCTAAATGAAAAAAAAAAAAAAATGGAACACCAATCAAAATTAAATAAATAAATAAAGCATTATGAAATAAGAAAAATTGTCTTGTTTATTTCTGACTTCAGCTGTCAATCAACGTCCGTGGGTTGGACCTTCACGCCCACTGGCTGATCCTTCACATCCATTAGTTTTCCTGAATACCTGCTCACTCAGACATAATTTAGAGCTAACAGTTTAGATATAATTTATAATTTAGAGCAAACAAATAGTTGTTTTTACGTGTTAATCTTGTTAAATTCAAAGAACTAAAAGAGCGAGTCTGAAAGACTTCTTCAGTCCGAGGTGCTGTATTCAGCTCAGTCTTATAAATAGCACCTGCTCAGTGGATCAACCAGTTTGTTGTTGACATTCAAAACCAGCTGTTCCCATGATCAATGAGGACCATCAGCCTAACGATGGATCTTCAGCACCCTCATGGCCACTTACTATTCACAGGCGGAGGAGTGATACTAGCAATAAACGGCAGATGTGAAGGATAAGCCAGTGGGTGTGAAGGTCCAACCCACTGACGTTGATTGACAGCTGAAGTCATTCTGCTGAAAAGAGTCATTATGAAATAAATAAGCCGTTATGAAAAACACAATTATGAAATAGAATAAAAATATTTTTTCTTATTTCATAATGATTTATTTATTTAATTTTGAGCATGTTGGTGTTCTATATTTAAAAAGCTGCACTACTCAAATTAAATTACCGTAAACGCTAGAAAAACTGCTCTAAAATAAATTACCGTAAATGTTAGATAAGGTGTGCAGCCTAAATTAATTACCGGAAATGTTTAAAAGCTGCACTACTCAAAATAAACTACTGTGAATGTTAGAAAAGGTGTGCAGCCTAAATTAATTACCGTAAATGTTTA